CAAGCAGGGGAGGGGCAGAGGGGCAGAGAGAGAGAGGGAGACATAGGATCCGAAGCAGGCTCCGAGCTGTCAGCACAGAACCTGACGCTGGGCTCGAACTCACGAACCGTGAGGTCATGACCTGAGCCGAAGTCGGACGCTTAACTGAGTGAGCCACCCAGGTACCCCTGGGTTCCCACTTTTCTTAGAACTCTAGTCGGAATCTTCCATGTGGGTTGAGGTGCCCTCGGCCCTCTGCCCTGCTCCACAGCCTGCCTGGCCTTGGTCTACCTCACAGCCGCAGCTCACACAGTGATTCCCCCGGTGACTTCCTGCTTCTCCCTCCATGCCTGGCAAGCTCACCCTTCAGGTTTTAGTTCAAACATTGTTCCCTCAAGGAAGCCATTCTTGCTTTTCAGGCTACTCTGAACTTGCAGAACATGCTGGTCTTCTTCATAGTACAACCCAAGTTGAACATTAACTATCCAATTGTTTAGTGTCTGCCTCCTTCAGACCATGAAGAGAGGTCCCCAAGGGCTCAGAGACCATGTCTGTGCTGTTCGCTGCTGTAGCCCCTGCTCCTAGTCCATTGGCTTGCTCAAGGCCGCCATCAAAATTATTTAAGTGAACTGACCCCCGTGTTTCTAAAATGCTGTCAAGTAAAGCAAGCAGATGGCAGTAGTTGTACCTTTCCTCCAAACATCCTTTTTCGTTAGATTCAGACTTGCTCCTTTTCCTTCTGAGGATGGACAGCCACACACCTGTCTGGTCCTTTTCACTCCTTCAGCCGCCCTCCTTCCCGCCAGCCTTCTCTATGTTCTGCTCACTCTGTCCCCAAGCACCTTCTTCTCCCTTACCTTCTTTATTCCCCTTATTCCCACAACTTTTAGCCGCCTCCTTTAACATAAATGTAATGGCTGGGCCTGGGGGTTCTGGATGAGCACCCCATTCTGGACTGCCAGTGTGGAGAGGAGGCTTCACCGGAAACCAGAAGTGATGGGATAGTCTAGGTCTGAAGCCGGCTGGGAAGCTGGAAGGAAGGCAGACATGTCACAGCTCAGTTCCAAGAACAGAATATGCCTCGAGGTTTGTCTTCAACATCATACCCGTGGATTCTGTCTCACTTGCCCTGTCTCCTGTTTCCTTCCAGTTCCCAGAGGCCCTCCGTCAACAACCATCTTGGCATCCTCAAACAGAGTGAGGAGTGGGGATGACATCAGCGTCCTCTGTACCGTCCTGGGGGAACCTGATGTCGAGGTGGAATTCAGGTGGATCTACCCAGGACAGAAGGTAAGGGCTGTGCCCCTTCTCAGCCAGCTCAGGACATTTAGTTTTGTCCTCCAACCCCACCCCCAGGTGAAGAGGTCATAACTTAACGAGTGTGAGCAGTGTGTGAAACTGTATCAGGGGCCAGGTTTTACTTGTTTTCTAAGCTGTTCCAGTAATATTTACAAGTGGCTCTTTTAAAGGACAGGAAAAAAAAAGTGGGTTCCATTAGGCAGTTCAGTGTACCTTCTTTATATGTTATTTTTCTTCATAACCCTTAAGCAGGGACGGAGCCTGAAAGAGAAAGGAGGGGGCTCCCTCTTTCTCCACCCCCATTTCTGGGTCAATTGGAGGCCAACTCGTCTCCCTCAGAGTGTGCTCCCTATACGAGCTATGCCCCGTGGTGAGCACATCCACCAAGTGGGCATATAAACCTAGGCCCTGGCAAAAAGGTGCCGTGAGGCCAGAGATAATTTTAAAATAGACTTTCCATAAGAGCAACACCCCCACATTTAGCCTCCGTGCCCGTTTTGCTCGCTAAAATAAACAGCTTTGCTACCAACATGGAATAATCCCTTCGTTGCCAGAGAAGATTTGGCCTCCTAAGACATACTCAGTGGCCAATACACTTCTGGCTCAGGGGCTGTGATTGGTGGAAAATAAGTCTCCCTGGAGAAAAAATATTTTCCTGGTAGTAGGTACTTGTTTTTAAAAAGTGTGGTCACACTTTGAAGACATCCATGATTTTCAATGGAAGTGTGTTTTGGTTTTTGTTTTTGTTTTTTAATGAGCAGAAAGTGTATTTATTAATACTGGTGATATTACAATCCTGTTCAGCAAATCCAAAACACACAACATTCGGCTCACCATAGTTGGGTGCAGCTTCTCCAAAGTGACCACCTCACTTTCTAGAAATAGGGAGTTAGATCATCCAGGGCATCGTGGCATCCATTCTTGGTACAACTTTGCTCCCACTGGAGTCCTTTGGCCTGGCTGTTTCTACTTCTCCCTTCACCAAATCTGAACAATGGGGAGCTCTCATTTACTTACACAGTGAGTGCGTCAGGCTTTTCTGGCTTTAAATTCTTTTTTTTAAATTTTTATTAAAATTTTTTTTAACGTTTTGTTCATTTTTGAGACAGAGAGAGACCGAGCATGAGTGGGGGAGGGGCAGAGAGAGAGGGAGACACAGCATCCGAAGCAGGCTCCAGGCTCTGAGCCGTCAGCACAGAGCCCGATGTGGGGCTCGAACTCAGACTGTGAGATCATGACCTGAGCTGAAGCCGGACGCTTAACCGACTGAGCCACCCAGGTGCCCCATCTGGCTTTAAATTCTATAGTCCCAGAACTATTGAGTGGGCAATGTGAAGGGGGGAGCAGCAGAAATTTTTATCCATGTTTCTTGCCTAGTACCAGTTCTATGTTCTTGGGGTTCCAAAAGAATTTAAGTGGAAACTTAGCAAAACGAGCATTCCAAACAGTGTAGTGTTTGCATATACTGTAAAAGCTCCCCTGTGCTGTATGTACCGAATAGTCTTTTAGGTGTTTGGGCAAGAACCTCCCCACCGCCTCAGTGGTGTGGGGTGAATGGGACCTGTTTACAGCAGCCTATTGCTTGTGCTGCAGCGCTTGGGGGTGTTGTTCAACAGGATGAAAGGCCTGTGACGATTCAAGACACTTGGCGGCTGATCCACAGAGGACTGGGGCACACCACAAGAATCTCCCAGAGCATCCTGACAGTTGAAGACGTTGCAACCACTGATGTAGGGTATTACATTTGCACTGCTCGGAATCTCCAAGGGGAGACTACAGTAGCGACCACTGTTGAGTTTTCCTGACTTGGAAAATGAGGTATAATGAATTGAGGGCAAGTTCATTTGTGCACATGGCCGGCTTTGGGGTTCTGGTGACTCCTGCTTTGCCGGAGGCTGCCGTTTGGTGCCCAACCCCGCCCCCTGCCCTGAGAGTCAGACCCAGACGTCCAAACTCAAAGGAAGTCATTCGGCCTAATAGTGTTAACTCCTGACAGAAAGCATGTATTTTGATTGCTTACCTATGTATCTGCATTTCTACTTTTTATAATAAAAAAGCATAGATGTTAACTTTGTATACTCATTTCTATTCAATGGGCAGGTTTTGGTACAAAATGGGCTAAGTGTTCGGTTTTTTGGTTGAAGGATTTGTTGGGGGCACTGCTTGGGTCAACGCCAAAGATTCTATTCCATAACACAGGAGATCTAAAAATTAAGTGATATGTGGTTCAACTATATATTCAAAATGATGTGAAGGTATCAAAAACTGAGGCAAACGTGCCCTTTTTTAGGCTGCTGCACTCCAAAGTACTAGCTCTCGATGAGTCATTCAGTAAGAAGCAAACATGTGCTTTTAGAACTTTAACTTTCCATATAGGTTTCTGATTCAAGGAAGATTCAGCTTCATTTAGGCTTTTTTACTACCTCCAAAAATGTTTGCACTGTGGCTGTTCTCATTTTCTTACCTGATACAGCAGAAATTGTTAAAGTCAGTTGCGGTTTCTCCAGTACCCATAGCTGGGAATTCAGAGAAGCTTACCTGTGAGTCTAGCTCTGTGAGCCGGATTTCAGCCCATGACCAACTGGGTGGTTGCACTGGAAACCCCTGGGGACACAGCTGAAGAGGAGACGAACGGTCACCGGTACCTTGAGAAGGGCTGAAAACTGGGTGACGCTTCGGAGGGTGGAGTAGGTCAGACGTCGCAATCCTTATGTTGAATATTCCAGCATTATTTATTTGATCAAAGTAAAATACACTTTCCATCACTACAAACTGAGCACAACTACGGTTTACACATCCTTATTTTTATGACGTGCCAACGTTTTCCGTCCTACGTGAGAAACATTTGGTTTGAGAAAAAAAAAAGTCTTAAAGTTCTGTTTTGTTTCCTATCTTCTCTCCTATTGTCTCCCATTCTCTGAAGACATTTTGTATTAATTGTGTAAGATTGATTTCCCCAGACACCTAAATGGTATGGAGGATAGCAGGGAACAGCACAAGAGTTACCATGCCTAGGAGATGGATGGCAAACCCAACTTTGGCTAATGGCATTGAAAACAACGCAGAAGGGCAAGCAGAGAGCTATTCCCGGAGGTGGCAGTGAGCCTAAATTCCCATTTATCAGAGGCAAACACGGAAGGTAACATTCATAATACACTGCTGGAGGTTAAGGGCTTCAGACACAATCACTAATAAAAACAAGCATGCATCGTGAATATCAGCTTGCTATGTAGCGTCCATGTAGATGACGACTCAAATATCCACCTCTAGTATCCTGAATCTGTTCTTACACTACAGGAGTTACTTGTACAGCCACTGGACGTCAGCAACGCGGGTTAGTAAATACTGACATGCAGGGACAGGGAGATAAAGCCACAGTTCTTCCTTCTACTTCCCCCCAAAGTATCAGAATTGGGGGAGGTAATAAGTTTTGAAGAGAAATTGAATTGCAGCTTGGAGGGCGTCGTACACATCACATCTTCCACCCACTGACTGACCATTCTGCTACCTCAAGGACAGAGAAGGATTCCTCCAAGAGGACACAGAAGCTTAGCACTATCTTTCCAGAATGCATTAAGTGCATCATTGCCCTACACCAGCTGCTCCTACTCAGCCATAAGCACTGAATCCTACCTTACTCCGTTCTACTAGCTAATGCCTTATTCTTCATTCTCTTTAGGGTTTCCCAACATTTTTACTGTCACATCCAGGCCTTGGTTTGTTTGGAAAGTGGTTTTGGCACCTTGATGACGAGCTGGCTCTGGAAAACCTATTCCTTGTCCCAGAGAAGAGTAGGTAGGAGGTAGAAGGTTTGCTTTTGTGGCTCTGGTGAGGGGTGGGGAGTTGGGGGGGGGGGGGGGGGGGGAAGGGTGTGTGCGGAGAAGAGGAAGAGGGCAGAAATGAAGACAATGGAAGAGCCAACAATCTGTGGGGATAGCTCAGGTCAAGGTAAAAATAAGGCAGAAGCAAACCCACTGGTCCTGCCCCTTTTCTTTATACAGATTTTTAGAAAAATTAGGGTCTTATATTTGCTCATAGCCTGAGAAAATAGATTGTAGTATAATGTTAGGTTTACAGAGGGAAGTTAAAAACCTACAGAAAAAAATCTAGCTAGTTTGAACTGATGTGGCTGAACACTGAGAGACTGCCAGCAAGTTATCGCAGAAGGACAGAGCTGTACGGACATGGACGAGTCCCAGCTCGTCGTGTCATTACCGCTCCCCACTGTCAAGGGCTGAGCCAAGTTGGTGGTAGAGAGTCTTAATTCAAGCAACTACTGCTCCTCCCTCTATGGCTTTTGCGGAAGTGCATACACGGACTAGCATTCGGTTAGTACATACCCAGCTGTGTGGGGCACCTGCCTTCCAGGACACAGCGAAGGAGGCGGCATCAGACACGGGACAGTCTGCCGCATCCATTCCACCACACATCCCCAGTCAGACCAAAACACAAATCCCAAGAAGGTGTCCGCGGTGAAGAACATTATAAAGGTTATACATCTTTATCTTAACAGGCCCCTGAGAGTTTTCTTTCTGCCTTATGCTTAGGTGAAAAAGGCAACAAACAAGACCCTCTTGTTCTTTAAGTGCTTTGTGCAACAGCGTCCATCCACGCGGATCCGTTCTGAGGTCTTTGGCGAGGGGGCTCTTGGACGGGGTCCAAGTCTTCCTCCAGAGTGTTCCAGTCTCAGAAGGAGCCTCGGGGGCGGCGACTCTCCAGTTCCAGCGTGGTTACTACACGTCCGCTACTGTAGCTCTCACTCTGTCGAGCGTGGTTAGGGTCAGTCCCGCACACCTGTTACAGATGCTTTCCGACAGTCTCCCAGCTTCCAGAAGGCGTCATCTGGGTGAGATGCTGGGGCTGGGGCAGGAGCCGGAGTTCCTCGGTGGCTGGAAGGGGATGGCGGCGGACGTGGGGGACCTCTTAGGGCTGCACAGGTCCCCGTTGTGCAGCTTCCACAGCAGCTCCTCGTTCTCCATGGACAGTCTCTTGTTGACTTTGGACTCCTTCTCCAGGGACTCCTGCAGAACTGCCTGCTCAGTGGAAAGTTGCCTTGAAGACAAAAAAAAGAGCCACAAACCATGTGAATCTAAGTTAAAAGTAACTTGAAAAAATTCTTACTATTTAAAAAAAAACGTTTACTTTTGAGAGAGAGAGAATGCAAGTGGGGGAGGGGCAGAAAGAGAGGGAGAGAGAGAATCCCAAGCAGGCTCTATGCTGTCAGTGCAGAGCCTGATGTGGGGCTTGAACTCACAAACCATGAGAGCGTGGCCTGAACCGAAGTCAGACACTCAACCGACTGAGCCACCCAGGTGCCCTGAAAAAATTCTTACCATTTGAGCCCCCAAAACAATCCCTTTGGAACAAAAGGGAATCCTGCACAGAGCTGCAAGGTGTGGGGGCTTTGGCTGGTGGAGAAATGCTGGGCACGTGAGCCAAAGGAAGAGCACGTTTGGGGGCGAGTTGATAGTCGGCTAGGATAGTCTCCATGTCTTAGGAATGTCTTCTGTCCTAAGACAGAAGGGTCCCCCAAGGGTCTCGGGGACGGCTTGCCTATTTAGGGGACAAGCCATTCAGTCAACACCACTGTGGTAAAAGCATGCATGGCTCCAATCCTATTTTCCACATGGAAATCAGTACCTGTTTAACCACACACTTCAACCCCATTTCCAGAGGTACATGGGTGGAGTGCAGTAAGAACGTAACACTGGACATGGGAGCTCAGGAACAGTAGGGAACAGTAGGGCCATTTTTACCTTGAAATTGCCATGTGCTTGTCCATCCGAGCTTTCAATTCCTCATTCTCCTGCTGGAATCGCTTCAGTTTGTCAACCAATGCTGTGTTGTTGTCCACCTTGGTGTAAACGAGAATGCCAACATTTTTACATTAAAAATAAAGCCCCTCACTCCCTGAGGCACGTTCCAGACACCAGCACAGAGATTTCATTAAGGTAAGTTTGAAGATCTACTAACATATCTGTACACTGACATGCTGTGAAAAGATTCTAAGGCAGCCAACACAAAGCACCTGGATATGTATTTTTTTTTTTAATTTTTTTTTTTTTTCAACGTTTATTTATTTTTGGGACAGAGAGAGACAGAGCATGAACGGGGGAGGGGCAGAGAGAGAGGGAGACACAGAATCGGAAACAGGCTCCAGGCTCTGAGCCATCAGCCCAGAGCCCGACGCGGGGCTCGAGCTCACGGACCGCGAGATCGTGACCTGGCTGAAGTCGGACGCTTAACCGACTGCGCCACCCAGGCGCCCCCTGGATATGTATTTTTAAAAACTGTAAGCTAGGCCGCGTGAAAACTGACAGACCCATGGGTAACTGGTTTGTCCTAGGTCATACTGTTTTTAGAATTGCCCCCCAGAGAATTGGTGCCCTGCCCTGGGCAACACTGGGGGCTGTGCCTCTTTCATAAGTTTCCAGGTGGTGAAATGAAAACAGCAGCCAGCCTGCCTGGGTCTGTCAAGGGCACTACAGTTTCCTACAGCCAATTCAGGAGAAGACAAAAAATCCCCATGTTCGATGAAAACTCCTAGTAAGCCTACAGTTCACAATTCTTGGCAGTGTTTTCTATGGCCTTAAATGTGGTTTCCAATCTCTCTCTGGCATTTACCTCTGTAAGTCACAAGGCTCTGTAGAGCATCAGTTGAGAGAAGGGACACTAGAGAAAGCCTCCCTCCTCAGTTCAGTTGGAGATATTTTGTTCTCCTGCTGGCCTGGCCCGGGCTAAACTTGCAAGGAAAAGGAATTGATCAGTGAAGATATTAAAGCATAAAATCCCAGAAGCCATATAATCACTTAACGTGATGATGAGCTGATCACATCCCATTTACTTTCGAAAGGTAAGATTTGATTACTTGCTTAGGAGGTGAGATCACAGCTCTGTCAGAATTAATTCTAATCCCTGTCTTTGTAGTGCATGACTAATCTACTCTGATTATGACTTCTTGGTTGGGAATCCTATTGTCCTTAACGTTTCCTATTACCCAGATCAACAGTGAGGACAAGCCAGTCAGGTGGAATTTCAAAAAAAAAAAAAAAAAAAAAAAAAA